TGAACAATAATTCCCTATGAGTTGTGACACAAGGATCAGCATGAAACATGAGACCTGAGCCTACCAGTTTCATGCCTGAGCTTTCACAGTGGAAGATGGAAAATTGTTCTTTACCATTTACCAAATATATTCCATTTCCAGTTTGTTCATGCACTGACAGAGCAGAGACGCAAAAAAACACGTAGATAGCTTTGAATAAGTAAATCTAGCAAAACGAGGTTTGTCTTAATTATAATTGGTGTTAGTCAGGCCAATGTTTTGCTTTGCCATTAAGCTTTGAAGTTAAGGCAAAAAATCTTGAACAAGGAAACCATGGTTTCAGTTTTAAAATACTCATTGTCAGTGTTTAAAATTCAAAGAAAAAGATGAGCATCTTCAAAAATTTAAACTAGAATTGTATTTTTTTTTATTAAATGCTGTTACCAATTGCTTTCTTTAGCCTGTTGTTACTGTAGCTCAAACGGCTCCATTGACAATGATGAAAACTAATAATTGCCTGCTTGTATATTTGATGAGTTTGGAATAACATGTAATCTGGTGATACATGGAACAACAAGAAAGCGTAATCTTTTAAACATTGTTGAATTCTCCTTGCCTCAAGTGATTTGAATATGCATAGATATAGGATATTCTGAAGGGAGCAGAAGTGAGAGTTATGAATAGTTTTTATATATTCAGGACAGTAATTTAGATTTGTTATTGTAACGCTCAAATTCATTGAGATGTTCAAAATCTATATCAAAGGTTTTAATATGGAAGTGAAATAATATTTCCCAGTTTGCAAATGACAAAATTAGGTGGAAGTGAGAGTTGTGAGGAGGATGCAAAGAGACTGCGGGGATTTATAACGAGGCCAAGTGAGTGGGGGAAACATTAGTCAGATTGAATGTAGTGTGGAGACGTGAGGTTCTTCACTTTGGCAGGAAAAACAAACGACACTTACGAAGCTTGATACTATCCAGGGCAAAACAGCCTGCTTGATTGACACCACATCCGCAAGCGTCCATCACTGTGGCTGAGTTGAAGTATATGCTGTCTACAAGATGCACTGCAGAAATTTACCAAAGGTCCTTAGACAGTACCTTTCGAACCCACAATCACTTCCATCCAGAAGGTCAAGGGCAGTAGATAGATGGGATCAAGACATCTGTTGTTCCGCTCCAAGCCACTCACTATTGTGACTTGGAAATATATCACCATTCCTTCACTCTGCTGGGTTAAAATCCTGGAATTCCCTCCCTAAGGATGTTGTGGGTCTACCTACAACACGTGGATTGCACCGTTTCAAGAAGGCAGCTCACTACCACCTTCTCAAACGCAACTTGGGACAATCAATAAATGCTGGCCAGCCAGCGATGGCCACATCCCACGAATGAATTACAAATATCAGAAATACAGGGTATTTCTTAAATAGTGAGAGGCTGGAAAGTGTTGGGACTTCAAAGAGATTTGTGTGTCCTTGTTCATGAGTCACTGCAAGATAACATCCATATATGGCAAGAAATTAAAAGTACAGTTGGTGTGTGGCCTTTAATAAAGATAACTTGAATATAGTGGTAAAGATGTCTTGCTTGACTTTTAATTAAAGTTTCACCATCTGTCATGGTGGGGCGTAAATCCACATCCCAAGAACATTAGCCTGGGATAACAAGGTGTAGAGCTGGATGAACACAGCAGGCCAAGCGGCATCAGAGGAGCAGGAAAGCTGACGTTTCGGGTCTAGACCCTTCTTCAGAAATGGGGGAAGGGAAGGGAATTCTGAAATAAATAGGGAGAGAGGTGAGGCTGATAGAAGATGGATAAAGGAGAAGATAGGTGGAGAGGAGACAGACAGGTCAAAGAGGCGGGGGTGGATCCAGTAAAGGTGAGTGTAGGTGGGGAGTT